CATTGTTTATGTTTTATTAAACAAACATAAGTATACCTAGAATAATCATCCATAAAGGTAATAAAATATCAATTTTCACCTCTACATATATCATTTAGTTCACATCTGTCCGAATGAATAAATTCTAAAATATGAGAAGTCCTATTCATACGTTGATATGGCTTCTTAACCATTTTATATTCTACACATGTTTTATATTTATATGCATTACTCACATCATATGAAGTCATATCACAATTTAACATCATTTCTAGACCTGTGTGACCTAGTCTAGCATGTCATATTGTAAAAGAATCAACCAAATAAATAAAATCAACTTAATTATTAATAATGTTGTCAACAATACATAATTTGACCATTTTTCCACTTGATTAGCCTTTCCAACAAATTTTTCATTTCGAGATAATCCAATTTTTTTAACTTATAAACACTTTTGATGCTCAATTTTCCTAAGAGATTTTCACTCACTTACGTCCTATTCATTTCACGAACATATACTGTATTTGCTAAAGTAATGGTTTTCCAGAGATGACGATAATATCAACATTTCATTTTCATATATTTATAATCATGCCACCAACCGAGAACTTTTTCTTTGATATCATTTATTTTGATCACGATAGCTACAATACCATCTTCATCAGTGGAATTCATTTTGCCTTCTTTCTTGTTTTGTTTACACTGTCGATAATCCTTTGCAAAATGTTTGGATTTTCAATATACAAAACAATCTCCCTTGGGCTTCTTCTTAAACTTGTTAAAGTTTTTAGAAGATTTCTTCTTGTTTGATTTGATGGATGGCTAGGTCTTTTTCATGGCATTGGCCTTTAAAGTGCCTTCATAAGAGTTTTCACTCTTATCCCTTGTCCTCAATTCTTTCTTAATTCAAAGATTTTTTGAACTTGTTCCAAAGAGTAATCTTCGAAACTATGAAAAATATTTTTTCATTATCATTTCCATGTCTTGGGAGTTTAGCAATAATTGCTCCCACTTGAAAAGATTCCAAAAGTTCAATCTTTTTCGACTTTAGTTTGTTGATGATTACTTGTAATTCATACACTTGGGAGAGAAGATGAATGTTTTCAAGAAATTTAAAATCGAAATACCTCGATATCAAGAATTTTTTGTACCTTCTTCTTTGACTTTGTATTTGTTCTCTAATATATCCCAAATATCTTTTGTTGATGATGTGTTGGAATAGATATCATAAATAGGTCAAATAGTGAGCTGAGTATGTGACCACGATAAATTAATTCATCTTTTTTGAGGCTTTCTATCTCGGCTCTTATGGCATTGGTATCTCCATTTCTTGGTTCTGGTAGTGGTGCCAATTCCAGATCAAGGATGTAGAAAATCTTTAACGTTGTGAGAAGAAACTTCAAAATACCTATAGAAAATCCAAAATCAATTAAGAATGGAAAGAAATAAGATAAATATAATTTCCTACAAGGAAACATGTGTTTTAACTCTATCTTTCCTAGTTATCTTTATCCTTTTTTGAGCTAAGTTGTGACACGACTTATATCTTTTACTTAATTAGGACTATAGCTTCTTTATCGGTTAAGTAGGAGTTTTAATTTGATTAGATTTTGTTAGTTCCCTTACATTAGTAAGATTAGGCGATAATCTTGCTTATAAATATAAAGGCTTTGTACAATTTTTCAAAATTCAATTTCATTATTCGATTCTTGATTAATAAACTTTTTTAGTTTTCGCATTTTTTGGTGGATTCCAAATAACTATCACTCCGTTTGAACAAAATTCGAGCAAACACCCCTTCGTGTGTTACGAGCTAAACACTTTTATTTTATCTACATTTTCGTCCTGCCTCAGATGGTATTAGAGCCGTTTTTTCCATCTCTATATCTTTAATTCATAACATGGGTGACGTACCAGTTACTAGGACATATTTATATGGAACAAATCGACGAATTGACGATCTTACTACTCAGATTGAAGAGATTCGTCAATTGCTTCTACGGGGTGCTGAAAACAATGGGCGGAATGAACAGCGGGCAATCAACAATGAACGGATGTCTGAGCCTGTATTTCGGAGAGAAAATAATCAGATGCATGCAGTAGAAGAAAGTGAATTAGAATGAGAGGAAAAGATTGAAGTACCGTCGCGTAATTCTAATCATCAAAATCGAAATACCTTTGATGATTATCGGATTAAAGCAGACATCCCTCCGTTCTTTGAAAAATGAAGATCGAGGACTTCTTGAATTGGTTGGTAGAGGTTGAAAGATTCTTTGAAATTATTGATATTTTAGAGGGCAAGATGGTTAAGATGGTGACATTCCTTTTGAAATATGAGACAACAATATGGTGGGATCAATTACAGAATGCTCGAAGGAAACAGGAAAAAGGTTGGATTCGGTCTTAGAAAAGGATGAAGTAGTCTTGATGGATGGATTTTTACCAACAGATTATGAACAAATTTTATATCGTATGTACCTAGGATGCATACAAGGCAATCGTACAGTGTTAGACTATACCAATGAATTTATGGAGCGGATAATCTGTCAGAATCTGAGAATCAAAGGATAGCCAGGTATGCCAGTGGTTTGAAGGTAGCTGTTCAAGATAGAATTGGGTTGCAGAATATTTGGACATTGCAAAAAGTCATTAACATGGCGATGAAAGTGGAGATGATAGAATCTGATAAGATGTTGATTTCTTATAGGAGGCCCTTACTTGTCGAAACATCATCATCCGCTCCTTTAGACAAAGGAAAGGCCGCATAACAAATCACATCCAATCTTTATCGGAACAATGTTGACAATAGTATTCGTTTTGAGAATAGAGGTCAAACTCGAGCTTCACCTCAGAATGTAAATCTGTATGCTAAGCCCACTGGTGAAGTTTGTTATAGATGTCAAAAGCCTGGGCATCGTTTCAATAACTGTCTTGAGAGGAAGCAAGTTAATTTATTAGAACTTGAGGTAGTGGATGAGGAAGAAGATACTGAAGCAGAAGATGAGTATGCGATAGTAGAGTTTGTCGTGGAGGAAGGAGTAGAATGACTCACTTTGGTACTACAACGAATCATTTTGTCACCTAAAGAGGAGGGACATTGTCATTGCATCTTTCGTTCGCTTTGTTCTATCAAAAATAAAGTATGTGAAGTGATCATGGACAATGGAAGTTGTGAGAATTTTGGGTCGAAGATGTTGGTGGATTTGTTGAAACTAACTGTTGAGAACCACCCAAAACCTTATTCACTTGGTTGGGTGAAGAGTGGTCCTTACATTCAAGTTGTTGAAACTTGCAGAGTACCTATTTCAATTGGTAAGCATTATAAGGATGAAATTTTGTGTGATTTCATAAACATGGATGCCAATCATATCCTATTGGGTCGTCTATGGCAATTTTGATGTGGATGCCATACATAAGGGTAGAAACAATACTTATAAGTTTATGTAGAAGGATAAAAAGATTGCGGTTGTACCAATGGGGTAGGCACATAAAGCTTTTAAAGTAGAAGGGAAAGATTTTCCAGCCATTACAAATTCAAACATTGAGTTTTCCTTTGATAAGCCTTTGTATCCTGATGACAACTCAGGGTCGAGTTGTTTTGAAGTGGAAGGGAATAATGTGGGACAATACCTACAGAAAATCTAAAATCAATTAGGAAAGGAAAGAAATAAGACAAACATAATTTCCTACTAAGAAACATGTGTCTTAATTTTATCTTTTCTAGTTGTCTTTATTTCTATTTTAGGTATAGTTGTGACAGGAATTATATCTTTTATTTAATTAGGACTATAGTTTATTTATCGATTGAGTAAGAGTTTTAATATGATTATATTTTATTACTTTCCTTACATTAGTAAAATTAGGGGATAATCTTGCCTATAAATATAAAGGCTTTGTACACTTTTTCAAAATTCAATTTCCTTATTTTATTTCTCCCATTTATACAACTATCAGTTTGAACGAAATTCGAGCAAACACCTGGTCGTGTGTTACGAGTTAAACACTTTTATTTTGTCCACGTTTCCGTCCTGTATCAGATGGTAACCATGGTGGTTTCATTCTCTATAGAAAATTTAGTTTGAGACTATTAGAAAAACTTTATCCTAATAAGGGAATGGAGAAAACAAACCAAAGAAAAGAGAAATGCCGAAAATTGACTTGAAAAGCATATCGTTGTTCTGAAACTAAATTTGCCTCCTCGGGGATTGTTGTTGATGTCTAAAAGGACTCATAGCAAATGGTTTGTATGATTTAACAAGTCTTAGAAGAAGAAAGACATTAAATACTTGTGTTTTTTCTTAAAACTTGAAGAACACTCAAAATGATGAATATGTAAAGAGATTTTTGTAAAACTCTATGTGAATGGAATGATTTCAATTGTTGGCGGTGTAATTATTATTATTATTATTATTATTATTATTATTATTATTATTATTATTATTATTATTATTATTATATATTCTCAATCATATAGAATGAAAAGGCCTCAAAGGTTTATGAAAACATGCATTTTTTTCATGAAATGATTCCAAAAAAATGAACCTTAAATTTCAAACCCAACTATCAAAAAATTGGCCTGGATGTTCATCCAATACATAATCAGGCAATAGCTCAAGCCAAGGTTTTGGCCTCGGGTTATTGAAAGCGACATTTGGTGCTATCTAGACCAAAATTTGTTTTCGGTATTTTTGTACTTACTCTACATATTCATATGGATGTATTATCATTCCAATATAGTCATCATTATAAATTGAATACCAAATTCCAACAGAACTTATTGCTTGTGATTATGGTGCAGAAATTAGAGGTTACACGTGCTGACATTCACCAACTTTTGAAGAAATTAAGGAAAAAAAATGAGAAAACAAATGCTGGTATACCGTATACATCTATTACATATAACATAACAAATAACAGAGCTTAAGAATGTTCAGATGAAAGCTATCAAGCAATAATCTCATGAGTACTTCACAACTACAAAAATCCATGAACGTTTCTTGAAATTCAACATGAACAAAGACCTAATTCATTGCAATAGGCATCTCAAAGCGACAAATGGGACAGTAATGACTTCTCTTTAGCCATTCTGTAATGCAATTACTATGAAACATATGCGAACACAGCAGGGTCGAGACTTCCACCCCCTTCACGATCTCCTCCAGGCATACTGTACAATTCCCGAACTCGTCCCCATTGTAGTCCATCTCTTTCTTCGGAAGCGATAAGATTGCATCCATACTCGCAGGCACCATCTTAACACCATCACCGATTTCCCCCAACTGTGAAATACTTTCGCGCACAACATAAAATAGAGTCTTCCTTATATTAACAAATAATGAAGAAGATCTCTCCTTGCCCGTGCTGCCTAATTTTCGTGCTTGGTAAATTACTTTATCAGCAAGTTTTTCTTTACAGTTCTGATCATCTCTTAGGTCGTAAGTTTCGAGTTTTTCCAACAGAAGTTGTTTTAAATCTTCGTTAGCTGCTGCGTAATCCAAACGAGTTTGACTTGTCATCGCTGCTTCTCGATGTGATTCATTTCTAACAAATAGAAGTTCTCCATCGTCACAATGTATTACCCACTTTTTCACTGTTTCACATTGAAACTCGACGAGAATACGAACTTCTGATGAAGAGTACTGATAATCAAGAACTGGTTCTGTGTGTATAGATTGCTGTGAGATCACTCCGCGCCAACGGATGTACTCCATATTCAAGATTTATGGTAAAAACTAAAAAGCTTAGAAGGCACGCAATTGAATGGAGAGAGAGAGAGAGAGAGAGAGAATGAATTGATGACTACATGAGATTCAGCTCCTATAATGCAAGCATATATAGGGGTCAATGGTTGATCCGCGAGGGATTAGGAATTCAAGTTTTTGGAAGCTTTCCTTGTGGAAACAACAAGACCGTTAGGAAATTATATGGAATGTTTTTATTTATGGAAACTGCAAGAATTTTACAACCACATATTAAATATTTTGAATAAATAGTATAACAAGTTATTAGAACGTTAAAAATCGCATTTAATAACATGGGTTCCATACTAAGCTCATGTTTGATGCCGTGTTATTATTTATTTATTTATTATCATTATTTATTATTATTTTTTTTTTTTAGAAAATGAATTTTTGAATAGTGATTTTTTGAAAGTGGTTAAAAGAATGAAAAGTTTTGAATATGTATGCAAAATATTTTACTGTAGATATGAGTAATTGAAATTGAGTTTTGGGAAAAAAGAGTTTTTGACAAATAACAGATAAACAGGAGCTGAAAATGCGAGTTTGTATCGATACCCAACCAACTCATAAAACGAACATCAAGAATAGTCCACAAGCACCCAAAAAAAAAAAATAATAATAATAATAAATAAAAATATGTATGCATCCTGTGTTATTGATTTATTATCAAATTCACCCTTCAAAAAGGTAATAACTACAAATTGTTAAAACAGAGTTGTATTACTCAATATTGGAAGTGATTACAGACAGATTATAAACAAACTATAAGAGCATTTTCAATTATGGTGTAAAATAAATTTAAATTGTGATTTAGATCTCCAAATGACCAAAAACCTCCCCAACAAAGAAATGCAAAGAAAATGTAAATTGCATTTTTATAGAAAATATAAAAAAAATGTAAATTTACATCGTCCTTTACATCTCCATGACAAACAGTGAATTTAAATATTTTCATTAGAGTAAAATTTGAATTTAGACCTACCATGATGTAAATGAAAATGCAAAAGTGATTTTTGAGATATCATTTTACACTTAATTTAATATTGCAATTGGAGATGCTCTAAAACCCTAAATCGTAGCTATGGCAATACAAAATACAAAACTACCCTTCATAAATATACTAATTAACTATTATAGCTAACATACCAAGTCAAACTCATGACGGTACGTTTCAAGAGGATAACTTATTAAGCAAAAGACTTTATCAAATCTTCTAAGCATCCATGTGTCAATATCCATTGGCTAAATTCATTACTACAATTTTTGACCGATTAAATTAAGGGTTGAGACACGTTTCAAATCAATAATCCTAATTATGCATTATTAAACCGGCTTAACAATATAAGTACATGTTTGACAGTCATTAAAACGAGTTTTTTTTAAGGAAAATGAATTTTGTAATAATAATTTTTTAAGAATGCGTGGTTAAAAAGTAAAAAAAGAGTTTTAAGTTTATGTTCAAAATATTTTATTGTGAGAATATAAAATCATAAATGTTTTATTTTAGGGAAGTGCTACATTTACATAATTATCTATATAATGATATCCATAATTACATGTGGCACTGGATCTAACGTTTAATTAAAATCTCATACTTGCATATCAACAAACGGATGATTGCTACATCATATTATGGACACCATTATGTGTAATAATTATATACAAGTAGAATTTTCCTTTATTTTAATGATTATGTTGCCTAAAACAATTTCATGTTCACAAATGTACAACTTTGTTGCGGAAGCCAAAAAATAACCAAACATAGCCAAAAAGCTGAACCAAACGAATACAAATTTCAAATTCCAGATTAACTTGGACCAGATACTTGTACCAAGTACCAAATTTCAGACTAAAGGAACCAAATTTCATATTCCAGATTATCCAAACCAAATTCCATATTCCAAATCCGGACCAAATCCCAAATTTCAGATTAACTAGATGCAAATATCTAGTTCAAATTCTAGATGAACTCGACATATACCAAAGAGAATTCTAGATAATATGACATATTCCAAACAAATTCCAAATATAATGAACATACCAAAATCCATTTTCAAATCAAGTTGAACATTACTGCTACTTAATTACCGAGATTACGAGCAACATTAATCAATAACATTATAAGACAATATTTAATAATAAAAGCTCCAGCTGGTAGGAATAAAATGAATTAACAATTTCGTAATGTTATAACGTTAATTTCTTTATATGGTAACTAGGACGGGTACATGACTTGCATTCTGTTTAATGCAAATTATTCTATAGCTAACCATTGCATGCCAAAAAATATGTTTTTTTTTTTTTTTTTTTGCTAGTAAACTCTATTATTACTCAAGGCGTTTCATCCAACTCTTTGACATATAAAATATGCAATCGGATTTATGCTAAGCAGTGACGATGTCACATTAATTCATTGGTGGATTTGGTGCTTAGTATAAGATGAGTTCTAGTGCTCATTTAGATTATTTCTCTATATATAACACAAACAACAAAAATTTGAAACATAAAGGAGAAGATTTCGCCAATATCTAAATCCAACTTATTAATCTTACCCCATAAACAGTTTTCATGCAATAATTACAGAGACTCCAAAGGTGTCATATTCAGATGACAGACAAAGCAGGTTTAGAAGAATCTTGATTTTTCTTTTCATATGAAACCTTAGAGTCGTTCCAATGTGGCTAAAACCTCTGCCATACTCGGCCTGCTTTTGGGATTATGACTTACGCACTGCAAAGCAAGATTTGAAAAAATAACGGCTCCTTCCTGAAGGTGCTTGCCGTCCAATTTCTTATCCACAACTCGATACACATTTTCCTTCTTAGACAAATATGGTCTTGCCCAATACACCAGGTTTCGATGTTTGTCACTAGATGTATCAAGAGCGCGACGTCCAGATAGTAATTCTAACATAACAACTCCAAAGGCATATACATCACACTTTTCCGTCAAATGGCCTGTTCATTAGCAAGGAGTTTAATATGGATACATTAATGATATTATGATTTTAAAGTGCAAAAGGAATGAAGAAGAAGTATTTTGTCGTGCCAAACCTGTAGCAATGTATTCCGGTGCGGAGTAGCCTTGCGTACCCACAACTCGAGTGGTCACATGAGACCTATCATCAGGTGGCCCATCTCTAGCAAGACCAAAGCCACCCAACTTGAAATTGAATTCCTGCCCCATAATGTAACGAAGCTATTACTTTTTCTATGCAAACAACTACCTTATGTGAAAACCAATACAAAAAAATAAAAATAAAATAAAATAAATTATCCAAGGAACGGACCTCATTCAAAAGAATGTTAGCAGACTTAACATTTCGATGTATCACTTGGTTTTTAGCATTATGCAAGAAAGAAAGGCCTCGAGCAGTATCAACAGCTGCCTTGACTCTAGTAGTGACACGACCCGTCCCGAATCACCTTAATGAATTCGACATGAGTCGTGCGCCGATGGTAGATACCAGCTAAACGCCGAACCCACCACCAAGGCAACTTGACTTGTTTGACTGAAGAATATTTTTAACAAAATTTTGATAGAGTTCCCCTTGAAATATGAACTAAAACCATTGAACACAACTAATTTTCCTCAAATCAATACCTATAATATAAATAGGATACGACAGTTCCTCAAAATACAAACTATTCAAATAAAATGTGGGCAAATCAACATTTCCTTTCTTTACAACCAACAATTCTCAAACATACTAATGACGCCAAATATGCAGTGAACCCATGATAACATTTTCTGACATAAACTACATATAACTCAAAGAAACATGTATTACATAGTCTGGTAAAGTAGGTCATACAACCTATGACACGTGACTCAATATAGCGGAGCAACAGGCTCCAAAGCTACTCAATTCAGCTGCTATCTGATAAGGAAAAAGGTGAAAAGACATATGAGCTTATAACTCGATGAGTAGATAATTTGCGAATAAATATACTTTTTCCATTTCTACATATTTTCTGAAAATTCTAGCTTTATTAAATCTTTGAAAAATTCTGAAATCTGGTAATAGTTTTAAAACCAAAACATGATTGCATCATACAATTCTTTGTTCTTATTTCTAGATAAGTAGATGTAAAGTTAACGAATAATCTGATATTCATGAAACTCTATAAAATATTGCTACTGGTCAATACTATAAGCTGAAAGCTTTATTTTGAAAACTGAATTAATTGAATTCTATAATTTGAAATCTGATAAATTGTATAATACTGAAAAATCACACCAAAAAGGTACCCGAAATAACTATACTCATGTATCGATTAGCACCGATAGACATGACAAAGTTATTTAATTTTGTAATTCTGAAATTCTGTAATTCTAGTCATACGCGCGCAGAGCTGAAATTCTGTAATTATGGTCATACACTATGAAAACATATTCACAATAGTGCAGATCGGGTAAAATCACCATAAATAGTCATATACTGTGGAAACACATTCACACTAGTGCAGACTAGGGTAAAATCACCTGGATACTTTCTGATGATTTTAAAATAACTTTAAATATACTGAAATATATAATATTCATATAACATGCTAATCAAATAATTTAAATGAACTAAATCAAACATTAAAAAAAAACTGATTATAAATTCACTTTATTCTGAAGATCATGCTGTAAAATCAACTGTATGAAATAATAATTTTTCTGAACTAATATAAGTTTTATAAATACTAATTTCTGAAAAATAAGTTTATATCCACTCACAAAGTTATAGTCGATCATGGTTTCGATATTCTCGTCGCCTCATCACTTTCAAATTCCAAGTATGATATCATGTTCTCGCTATAATAAATCATATCCCTTCACAAGCGTTCCTTGAGTATTTTCCTACCATTAGAAATAATAATTTACCAATGAAAACTTCACATATTTTATTTTCAATCTCATAATCCCATTTAGAGTCATTAACAACATACACTTCTTTATATAAATTATTTTAACCCCAAAACGTCAAATATTTAACACTTAATTTGGTTCCAATACTAAAAATCCACCAAAATTAGATGACTGACAAAACTAGCACTATAATTCCAGAATATTGAACATGGGCAACAATTTCTGAATATTGAAATCTGACACCAAAAAATTGACAGAAATAGCACCTTTTTGGACAGAATCTCAAAACTAGCACCTGTTTTGCAAAAACTAGAAAATTGCTATAAAAAAAAAAAATAAGAAAAATAGAGAATTTCAACCTCAAATCCTTAATTTAAGTTTTTAGCATCACATAATGCCAAGAATTTCAAATAATATGCCTTTATATCACAAACCCATTTCCAAAGTTTCCACTTTCTTCAACACTAATTTCCAAACACATATTTCTTGACATATACTTATTTTAATCATCAAATACATATCAATAACACATAATTCTTGCTAGACTTTGAATTAAAGCAAGTTTTCCATAACCCTTAAAAATTTAATTCAATAAATTTATACTTACCATTCTAAACCAAATGAGAAATTGAAGAATTTGAGAACCCTAACTTGAAAATTCTTCTTCTTCTTCCTCCTCCTCCTCTCGGTCTCTCTCGACTCTTCTCTCTCTCTTTCCCCAAAAATATATGAGAAAATACATAAAATAAATGCTATTAAATGGATAAATATTAAATAATTGCAAGGCAAGTCCACCATCTTCAAACAATATTACATTTAGTCATTTCTTTTCCCATAATAGAAACTAAATCCTTGGATTCCTTTATTATATCATTCCTAACCTTCAATTACTCGAAATTTCAATTTAAGTCCCATAAAAGTTATTTGTTCAACTTAAGTCCTTAATGACTTTGACTTTGACAAAATATTTTCCTTGACTTTGACTAAAAAAATGAGGGGTGTGACAAGTAGACCAAGAAAGACACTGATACCGTCCAGTGAAAGAAAATCAATACCAAATATCACCCATTGTCTTTAGATTTATGCTCTAATGTGGCTTCAAAATTCTGGAGAATTAGTGCAAGATCCTACATGATATAACCTCGTGGATTCAATAACACATCGTTAATGTTGTGGAGTTAAATTTTACACAAAGCATCATGAAAAGCAAAAACAACTTAGGTTCCGGAAAAACTTACAATGAACGGAGCAGCAAATCCATTGTCCCTGGACATTTAAAGTTGTGATCCTCAAAGTTTGTTTTAGAAGCTATGACCCAAAATTTATCAGCCAAGAATTCCATAACTATATCAGGAGGCCTTCTATTCGGGTCAAGGAGCAAAGTAATAAAAATATGGAAATGATTGAGATCCTCATTGGAACAAAGGAAACATGCATGTAGCATTTAAATTATATCCAAAAGTTAGTCATGGATATCCTATACATAATCAAGTATGAAACACGTACAAAAATGACAGAGAGACGGTGCAGTAAGGTAATGTTTCATGAATGATTAAATAACAAATATGACAATGGAGAACAATATTTAAGGGTTGTTCATAAATAGACAGAAATATAAAGCAACCATGGCATCGAATAATAAGCCATTTCAGTGAAACCTACTTCGGAGCAGGTTGTCACCCTCAGTGCAGTAAGCAATAAGTTCAATCACGTTTGGATGAAGAAAATGGCTCAGATAATTCACTTCCCTCTGCAAAACATTGAGGGGTAACTAAAAGTTTTGCATAACCATGTCATAAGACTCGCAAAGACTGCATAAAAGAACCTACCAACCATTGCTTGGACCCTTGAATACCATTTCCATTCCAATTCTTGATAGCAACGGCCATTCCAGATCCCAGCTTTGCAGCATTAAGAGTGCGCTAGTTAATCCGTCCCTTAAAAATAGGACCAAAACTTCCTTCCCCTAAAATGCTGTCAGGTCGAAAGTTTCTGGTCGCATTTTTTAATTCTTTGAATAGAATGGGCATAGCATTAGGCTTCCCATCATCAGATCTTGGTTTAGGGAGGCTGTCATCACTACTTTCTCCACTATAAAACGGAGAGCTTGGGCTGGAGGAAGCTGAAGAATTGTAGGATTCGCTGAGAATTCTAGATGCTTGTGAAGTATTACGGAAACATGGGCAGACAGCTAAAGATCGATACATGTTTGTTGCATGAATTAAGGCAAATTTCAAATGATAGCAAACATAAACATGAATTCATGGAGTTCAAGCGCATAAACCGTACAGAATAATATTCAATACTTCTCTACATGTACATATCGGAAGTGCAAAAGCAATCACACTGCTTTCTCACTAGTAAAAGATTTTATGTAATCATCACTCAAATAACATTGACATTAATTTTTATATGTTTATTAATATTTCTACACTTTTTTCAAACACTAAAAGGGCATCAGAACTTCATAATTACGTGATTTATTCTAATTTTCCTTATTTTAAGGGACATGCCATTGAGGAAGTGAAATCATTCAAGGTAATCTACTGAAATATATTTGAAGACTTACCTTACTAATAATCAAACAAGATGCAATTAAAAAAAAAATCAATATAATTTAATCATCCTAAAAAAACTTTAACAGAAAATTCCGGATTCTTATGTAAGCCTAAATCTAAGGCATAGATGAAACTGCAAAACAAGACAAATAATCTACAGATAAAAGCAATTGGTTACTATCCTTAACCGAATAATTAATATAGCACTGCCTCTAATTGTTTCATTATCACAAAAAGTATAAGAGACACACCTTCAGGGTTTACTGGAATATGATCGTCTATAGGGGAACTGAAACTGAACCTGGAACTGAAATCTGAAGAAATAGAGCTGAGGCTGGGGGCATAGGCAAGTTCCCGAAGCTCCTCTCGCTTTAACTTGGCTCCAATCAACCTCTCCCAGTTGTCGTAAATTCTACTCATTTGCAAATACAAATTCTGAAGAGATCTAAAAGCGTAATTATCAATAAACTTCACCCAATAAGAGGATTTTTTTACAGATTTTGCATATGTTTTTGGTGGATACAAGTGTGTGCATTTTTCATCGGAATGAAAGGCTTGGACAACCCTGGGTGCATTAAATTGGTTAAAAATTATATTTTTTTTTAATTCTAACCAATTAAATCAGTGAACTGAATGGAACTTGATATGTGTTTTAAAAGGGAATGAAAGCTAAGTTCTTTTAGCATGCTGACATGAAGAGCCAAAATGAAGCTGAGGAGAAAAAGCAGGGATATTGCAGGCTGCATTCTTTTTTTAACTTAAAAATGATAACGTTTTGACTTTCCAGCTTAACCAAACAAGCTTATGGCGGCTGGGAGAGTTTCCACAATGACCATGTCAAACCACCCATTCACCACTTAAGCTATTCAATTGTCAAAATGGCCTTCTCAACAATAAGAGACAAACATACCCTGAGAGAAAGCTGATAAATTACAAAACTTTACGTTAAAAAGACATCAATATTTTTTTAATTAAAAAGTAGAAACAAACAATTCTCACTAAAAATTCATAAATTTACCGAATCTTCAACAGAAAAATCTCGTTTATATCCATTACTTCGAATCGGTAAGTCTATTTACATATATTTAATTTGGTTCTCATCATGTTAGTATATTTTTTTAGTTGCTAAATCTTATTTTGACATATATTAACACATAGTGAGATTTTTTTTTTTTTTTTTGAAATAATCTATAATTTCTTCAACAAAAAGAGAAAAAAAATTCACCTACGTAAAAATTTGATAACGTTTAAGCTGTCCAGAAGCTACGATCGTAACATACTAGCATAACAAATGGCCCAGAACGATCTGGACCATCATTACGATTGTCTGTTCATGACCGTTTATTTAACAGACGACCATTTTTTTTTATTTCTTTGCATTTTTCTTAAAATTTAATTTATTTTTTAAAAAGACTTTTAATGTCAATATGGAATCAACACTCGTCCCAATCTATTACTTTGATGAATTTAAAATGAATGAAAATAGTCAATGACAACGGAACTGAATGAGTGACGGAGATGGTGTTTTTGAAATTTTGATAACATTGGTTACATCATATACAAATGTGTATTGTAATTTACAAAACTTTTTCAATGTTGATCTTTCTTCGTACGATATGAATTTGGGATTTCTATTTACAAGCATCCAACTCTTTTATTCCACCGGTAAAAGTTACTTCTGAAGTGCAAATGAAGTGACTAATTGAATTGAAAAAAACGATACGACTCTTATTTGTATAATTTTAGTCAGAAAGAAATCCCCTATAGCAAATACAAAGAATTCAATGGAGGGATGATATGTGTATTTTATACACTTATCTTGACAAAAAAGTATAAACATTTAATATTTTTTAAACAATTATAGCCTAATTTATTTTATATTTCAACTATTAGGTGAAATTCAATGAATGGAAGTGAAATTGAAAAAACAAGCGAAAAGGGGCAAAAAGGGGGTTAGATCCAAAGTTTGGGGATTAAAGTGTAAATACTCAAAAGTTGTGTCGAATCTCACCATGAAGATTCGAGATGGAATTAGAGGTCAAAATGAGTGAAATATGACAAAAATACTTTCACAAATCAAATTTCAACCGCACCGCATAAGGATGTTCTCGATATTCAGCCGCAGATTGAGACCATTTTTGGGCTAGTAAACATATGAATAGGAAAAGAGCTACTTCTAGTAAAATTGTAGCTCCTTATGTTATCTTTTACAAACCAATTTGAATCGTCTCAATCAGATATTGGAAAAGAATTTATGATAAAAATACTAAAGGAAGTATAGTAAGATTTTCCACTCGAAAGGTGGCTTCTCATGACGCCAAGACGCCACCATTATAGAGTCATGATGCCATAGAGATGGCGCAGAGTTGTCGCCTGGGTGTATCTAGGGCACATTTTAGCCCATTTTGAATTCCATAAAAACCCTATATTGGACACAAACGAGGGAACGACTACAAATACAAGTTTTTAATACTTTTGAAGGGGATTCCACACATTGAGAGATAGATAACACAACTTGAGAATTAGAGAGCAAATTCAATAAGAGAAAAATAATAGTTCAAGGGTTTGAAATCAAGGTTTTGAACGAAAAGAGGAACTCTGTGCAAGATTCATTATCTTTTCTACATCTCTTTTTAAAACGCGGTGACGTACTCAATGCGATTCTTTAGTTTTTCTTCCACTATCATGAGTAGCTAAATTAATATTAGGGCAAACAATGTAATCTTTTGAGACCCTTTATTTCTTTTATTCAATATTCAAGTTCTTTAGATATATATGTGTTGATTTTAATTATTTACTTAATACTTTGAAATCTTTGGCTAATTATAAAATGATTTTATGAATCTATTACGAATCGAGATGTGAGTTATAGATTTAGATCACATATTAAAATCCAATAATTTAGTATAACTTGTATAGATACCTATACTAATTATTGCGGTCGTTAGATGAATTCTTAAAATTAATATTCCTTTTAACTAAAACTGATTCACATAGAGATGTGTGATTGAATTAGTTAAATAGGTTCAATGAGAACTCGAGAATGATAAATTGAATGCAATGGAAGAATTCGATGGAACACTACATTAGACTTTTTAAATTGAGATATAAAGGTAATCAATAGGTGAAATTATTATGCTCTAATATCCATTCATTATTTAAATTCTAAATCAATCTTTGTGTGCATTCACATATTTTTAAATTGTTATATTAAAAATCATAACATCTAATTATTTGTTTGTTTTCTTATCGAATTAAAATTAGAAATAATTAAACCAATTGTTAAATAATATTCCTCGTCGATACAATATTCGAACTCTTAGGTCCATTTTATTACTTGATACGAGAAATCGACAACAAGTTTTTGGCACTGTTGCTGAAGAGTTTTTTTTATTTAATATTGATTTTAATTATTTCTTACTTTTGTTTGACTTTTTTCTCTCTCTTTTTTTTTTTCAATTGATCTACTTGTATTTCTTTGCTCGATTAACAGGGAATAAAAAGAAGATGATTTATTCTGACTTAAATGAATGTAACATGCTCTTTAGAGAATTCCACTTTAGACAAGAACTTAAAAAGTGAGGATATGATCAACCTATTATATTTCATAAAGATGGCTTCCTAGAGGGGTTAAATATAAAATTCGTTGTTTATGAAGAGATTAGATTGACATGTGAATAGTGTGGTACATTGCATTATACTAAAAATTGCTTATTGTTGACAACTCTAGTGGAAGTGAGGAAGGATATCTTCGATGGTCCATATGAAGAACAAGATGATTATAGTGAAATAATTATAGGAAACATCATCATACAAGACTATAAAATGATTGAAAATCACATAATTTTGAACAAATCAAATAACATGGTAATGGAGGATGTCTTCATCATTCAACCCAAGAAATTAACAACTAAAAATGCGAAACATGTAGAAACCGAAGAACTAATCATGAAGGAGCCAGACGAATTAATGATATTTAAAGAAGATGGAATTAGCATGCAAACATCCAACTTTATTGAATTTGTGATTAAAGATGATGAGAAGATCGAAGTGTTCTTACTTGAGTTCGAATTGGGCAATTTAGGCAAGTCATATTATATTCAAAAGGGCAAAGTACGATTTTAGAGGACATGTGAAATATGGAACGAAGTCAAACTAAGTAGGACCTCCAAAGCCATATTCAAAGTGCCATAAAGCAATTGGGCAAAAGTCTAGCTAAAAATTTCAATTAAATGCTTATTGAGAGGCAATCTATTTTCTTATCATTTTATTTGTTATGCTTTACGTCTTTGCATTGCATATAGTTTATTAAGGTGGATTAGTTTTAGGCATGTTTTTATTCAATAAGAGGGTCATCATATCTATATTAAGGCTATTAAAAGAAAATCGTATATTTGAGTGAAAAATAGTAGAAAATACATGTGACACATTTTTCAAAGTTTCAAGTCACATTTTTCAAAGTTTCAAGGACGTAAATAAAAAATCGGATATTATACACGCTACATTACTGCCTGTAATTTGCTCTTGACTCTTATATTTTGTCTTTTTCATCTTTCAAAGGTACATGAATATCAAGCAGGAGGCAGCTTAACAAAAAATTGAATGAACTAATCCAACAAGCAACCTCAAATATCAGACAGAAATTTTGGGGAGCACCTTCCTTCTATCCCACCCCTTTATTTGCTAGGTTATAGTTTAAGATATTCAGGACATTGTCTACTTTAAATTTGGGGGTGGAAAAATGTTGAGTTTTTACTTATATTATTCTTATGTAATTGTGTGTTTTTATTCTTTATTATATATTAAAAAAATTGAAAAATTTTAAAAATTTAGGTAGCCTCTCTGACAAATATATTTGGAATTATGTTCTAATTTGTGAACTATAGATATGTTACATAGTTAGATTAATTTATTCTTATCCATGTAAAACTTGATACTATTTGTGCACATGAATTAAGTTTAACATTATAAAGTAATGAGTTGATTCATATGCTTGGTATGTTGAAGTAGTAGAATATAGACGCTATATACTTGAAAGTTATTGCAATATACATCCTTCGACTAAATCTAGAATGGATTGGAAATGATTTTACTGTTGTAGCGAGATATGGACATGAATTGGGATTCCATGAGTGTGAATTCTTATATGGATTGTCTGAGGCCAATATGATGAAAATTAAGTGAAAATTTTAAGTTAGGGGTCGATTTTTTAGAATGAGTATTTTAATGAGAGACATTGCACTAATTATGGCAAAAAAAAAAGGAGAAAAAAAAGTGATAAAAAAGCTATGTCATTGTAAAGCATCTATTTATAGCCTTTATGACTCGAGTGTTTAAACTTGTAGGAGCATCTAAAAATATGGTGCCTTATGATCATTTGATTTTGGAATCATCGGCTTAAAGCTTCTATATGGATCATTTAAAAAGTTTAATGGAGAGAAGTTTGCACATAAGATAAGAAAAAAAAAATAATTATGTATTTACTCACTATATGCCTTGATTAAGTCTCACACACTTATTCAAGAAAATTAGATCTTTGACAAGGGATTATTAGCTTAGTTTTGTTTCGAAGGATGAAGCAATCAAGATTTGAAGAATTCTTATTTGTTGAAATATTAACTTGCGATTAGTGAGATCCATCTAAACTAAAGAGGGTGCGGAGCTAGTATAAAAAGTCGGCCTTAGATTAAACATTGGGAAAAGAGTCAAA